TGAATGAGGTATCTGTGTCTGAATATATTTGGATGCGTGCAAAGATAGCTGAAGCACTTAATCGCTGTTTTACACATCGTATCTGGATAAGCAAAAGGGAAGGGAGAGAACTTCTTATACTAAGTATCACTTTGTTGGAGTTGATGGCAAATTTTAAAAATCAAGACTAAGTCTCTCAAAGGATACAGTTACCTTGATTAGATGTGCTGCAGTTGGCTAATGAAACTGTTGTTTGCACTCAGAAAAAAAGGAGACTAAAATTCATTTTACATCCTCAAGAAAGAATCGTTTTATGTTTTAGCAAAGAGTAGCATTCAAATAACACCTGAATGACAAGAGTTGAGCAATTTAACTAATATATCAGAACTGATAACAGATTAATTGAGACAAAACATCTGCAGTAAAGATTATTTTTCCCATGGAGATACTTTATGTCAAAACTATAGCAAGTTAGGCTTACTTCACTATTTTTGAATTGGATCATTTGTAATTTTACTAGTAAGCTTAGAATCAAACAGGATTGACTGGGATTCAGAATCAGAGAGCCGAGTTTGAATTCCACTCACATCCATTACATTCACTTGCATGCTAATGCCCTTGGAAAATGTATGAATCATCTTCTTCCCCCAGCTATGGGTAAATAGCAGGACAGATTGGGTTCTATAGCCTTGGATGGCAACTGGTCTACCACAGAAAGAAATGGCAACCTACTACAGGAAAAAATCTGCCTCATCAGTCATGTATTGAAAGATACGTGATCACCTAAGCGTGTATCACACATGGATCATAGCTGACTGATCCTCTTGTGCAGGATATCCACTACAGTACCTGCCTCTTTTTCTATTGTTGAGTGTTTTCTTCATTAGCATTTAATGCTCTTGTCTGATGTTCCTGTTATATCTTTAGGGATCCTTAAAAAAATACAAAGAAGAGTTTAGTATCTCAGCTTTAGTCCCTTTCCCACTGCCATAATGTAGCTTCCTTGTGCCTTTTCTATAAATACTTTTATGGTAATTCTTCTGATGAGCTTTCTTCTTTGGCACCTAAACTTTATGAATTTAAGCACGGTACTAGATTGGCAGCAAGGTCTAATCAATTTACAGCTGAAATGGTTTGATATAACTGTAAGTTATATGCTAACAGTTCTATCACACTTCTCACTTGTAGAACTCTCTTCTGGCTTCTTACTTTCCAGTCAAGCTTGATTTTCAAAAATTTAAATGCAATGTCAATCATTATCTTCTGTATTCTTAAATCTTCTTTGTTTATTGTCCTCTCTCCTTAATTTTGTTCATATTCTCTAACACTCATTATCCCCCCCCTTGCATCTTAGTGGCTTTATTGCATTCCTTGAGGTGAAATGATTAAAAAAAATTGCCTTTGTTCCCATCAACTAGATTTAAGATGGCAGCAATAGTGATTATATGAATTCATTTCTATAACAAAGGGAATTTTTTCATGATAGAATTCACCACTGCATTTTCTATATTTGCTTTCAAGCATTAAAATATCCTTTCAACTATCTTGGATAACGGAAATGTTTTACCTTATGTGTGGAGAGCAATATTCTTAGAGTAAGTGGCAATCCAATGGCAATCAGCTTGAGATGAACATACCTATTACATGATTTGGTGAATTCATATCCTGAAGAAGAAAAAGTTCTTACAGTGATTGAAGTCTTCCAGGATCAGGCTTAATTTTACCTTTTTAAAAATAGTATAACCCAGGAGGTCTAAAAAGAATGGCAGAGAATGTATACTTACCATGATTTTTGGTCAAATTAAATCTCTCAGTGGCTCTGGTAAATCTCCTGAGATTGATGTTCTGTTCTTCCTTTCTTTTCCTGATACTTACAGTATCCAGTAAGCATTCCCACAAGGAAGAGCATTGTTGATAATGAATTGGTTTATAATGTGATGAAAGCATACTATTTGATTGGTTATTCCAAATGAAATCTAGTAGAATTTTATATAGTAACTGATTAAACATTTTAAAAGCAGTGTAAGGCTTATCTTCATCTGGTATCAAGACTTGTTAGTAGGCAGATTTCAAGTCTAAAGTAGGAAAGAATTGATGCCGTGCCACAGTGTTTACCAGTTCCTTTATCTTTTCTAGGAGGTAATCCTCTAACAGTATGAAATAGTTGATAGCCTGAGAGTAATCAACTACCATTCTATTGTTTCATTTATGAGTCCTTGTTATAAATAAGTTCACCAAAGGGAAATGCTTATCTATATTAATCCATTCTGAAAGTAGACCTTTTCACTTCAGTTACAATAAGGTGTTTATCTGGAGAAATATATTTCCTTGACTTAGTAGCTGCTGGGTTACAATTATTGGTAAAATTAACAAAAAGGTAACGAAGGGAATCAAAAGGAGGTTTTAATGGAGGTTTTGTCTAGCGCATAAATCAGACAGACTTATATTCTCGTGCTACAGGACCTCCTTAGTTCTATATTCCCTCAATAATAGCCTGCAGTCTTAGAGATTAATGAAGTTGATGCTATAGATATTTAATGGATGTGATGTGGGGTTTGATGTATTGTATGTGTCCACCAATTAAAAATACATTAATTTAAATATTCTTTATTTTATCTTGATATACTTCATTATTATTATTATTTTTTTTATAATAACAGAAAATCAAATCACAACTCATAAAAGTGTATATATATATAAGAAATATAGTCTTAAGATGTGCTATATTTATGGGATAAAGTGCTCAATATCAGAGATAGAGCATGTGTAAATATAAAAGTGAACATAGAAGTCAACACTTAGAGGCAACAGTCTGTTTCATGCTAGATGCAATCGTCAGGCCATATATATATATATATATATATATATATATATATATATGCACACACACACTTTTAAAACTAAAATCTATTTTTTCTCTTTTTTTATTTTAAGTGAAACCTTTAGAATGTAATCATTTTTTCAATCAAACTTTTAAATGAAATGCAAAAGCTAAAAATATGAAACACATTTTTCTTTCTTCTTTTTAACTTCTGAATGTAAATAGATTTTTGTTTTTATAAAAATAAAAATTTTCTGTACTTTTGATTTTGGTAGTTCCATTTCCTAATAATATTCATCTTTTTTAATACTAACATTTTTCATTCTTTTTCTTTGTGTCAAGTCAACATAACTTTTAAAACATGCCTGCACCAACTCTCTCTCACTCTGTCTCTTTAGCTCTATCCTTGTCTTTTATTCTCTTTTTAATGAAGAGTTCCATTTGTAACGGAAATGACATCAGTAGTCAACAATTAGTAAGCTCATGTATTCAGTGTACCACCAAAGATACAGTATTAGAATATATGTAAATGTAGCCATTGAACAAGGGATCAGAAAGCTCTCAGTACTATCCATGTCCATAAGTGCTGTTTTTCTTCCTGTTGGATTCAATTCAGTTTAGTAGTGGCAAATAATTTTTTATTTTTTTATTTCATTAGATGGAATTAACATAATCAGAATGGTATAAAGTACTTGTCACCTTTGGTTGTATTTGACTATGATAGAATGGCTAATGTCAGTAGTTACCATTTCTTTTTTTTTAAATTGAATCCTAACAGCAGTGATGACCTTTTTTGAAAAGTTTAAATATTTGGAACAATTGTAAACTGTTAGACAAAATAAACAATTTTGTCACAGCATTAACCAAGGATTTATTTGTATCTATAAACATTAAATTAGGTTGTAAGCTTTCTATTATTATTTTGTGTAAAATGTGATAAGTATGTATAGCTGGCCACTCATATTCAAGGATACCCGTTTACTAGGGCAGCTAGCCAATTCCTATTGCAGATTCTTGATCAGGTGCATTTGTGTTTATTCAACATCCAGAGAGCACACCTGTGGTTTATACCTTAGTTACAGTTTCTGGGAAAGAGCGTGTTATCTAGCATGATCAACAATTTGAACAAGGCCAGCACACTCAAGCCCTTGGCCACAATGACTTTTGACTTTGTGCTAGCCCCCAAGGGTTCTGTCTACCCAATTTCAATAACAAGGTTTGGGTCAACTCGTGGTATCGTTTTCAAGCACTTTCCAAAGGTGCCGCATGCTGGAATCGACCCCTCCAGTCTGATAACATCAGGAAGTCTTCTTCCTGACAAATCAACCATGGTAAGATTCGAACCCGGATCTCATGGTCAGAATGCAAACATTCTAACCTCGGCCACATGATAGGTAGCATGATAGAAAATGGTCAAGTAAGAATTCATGCTATTTTGGTAGTATATGTATATTGAAAGTTATTATAATCCGATGTGTATGAAAACTTGTAATGAGAGAAAAATAATAAACCAAATTTGGACGTTCATGCAAACATTTACATTCAAAAAGACAAATGCTTTTCTAAACCTTTTTTTATGTTTTTAAGATTTCACTAGAAGTTTCAAGAATTGTTCAGAATTTCTTTTGATCATTAAGAAAATGGTTTGAAATTTATGCACTCTGATATTAAATTGATGTTATTTCTTCTAAGAAATCTTGTTTTGCAGAGTATTGAGTTCCTTTTTTCTGCAGCCAATTAATTTTTGTATTGATAGGATGCTGAGAGAATTAGTTTTTAGATCTTCTTATAAGTCACAGAGGTTTGCACACAGGTAGATAATGAAGATGATTTTTGAAAAATTGAACATGTCATGCACTACTTTGGTGGGGACCAGAACCACAAAAAAAAAAAAAGACTTTCAAATGGGGTCTACTGATTGGATATGAATCTTTCATTTGATTCCTTTGAAGAGATGAAAGTTGATATTTGAATTAATTTTTTTTTTTTCATAGATTCATAACTTGTAACAAATGTGTTTGCCTCTGTATCAAATAGTAGATGGTATCTCAGTATATGTGTGTAGGGGGAGGTGATAAACCAAATAGTTGTTGAAATATTTTCTGGTATTGTTTTCTTGACTCCCTTTCTAAAGAGAATAAAGTATGGTTATTGTAAGCACAAAGGCCATATTGTTGAAGAAAGTTGTGTTTCTTTGCAGGCATTAAACAAGAAAGAGCACAAGGGTTGTGAAAGCCCTGAACCAGAGCATGAGCAGTACATGCTGGGTCCCCGCTGTGATGACAAATATGGAAGAATCAATGAGGAATATGCCAGAGTCATGCAGCAGAACTCTATACGGGTGAGTTTAATTGCTTTTATCTCTATCTTACGAAGAGATTTCTCCTTTTTTTAAGGGCTTGTTCTCTTTTGAAATAGATTCCTGCGTGTAAATATTTAAGTGCAAAATATGCCAAGAACTATCCAAACAAGGTTCTCTAGAAATTTTATGAAGAATTGTTTATCTTTCTACTGTCATCATGTAGAAATGGAGCTTCAATTATGACAACTGTTTAGTAATTGATCATTCTGGGAATTAATTAAAAAGGAAATAAAAGAGAATACAATATAATAATTTACTTATCCTTTAAAAGTGGTCTATGAAAAACTATGATCTTGTTCTGTTTCTGTTAGCATAAATAAGCAGAATGTCAACTTAAAAGTGGATAAGAAAATGAGAAGAAACGTTTGATTGATTTTCCTGAATTTTGAATGGCTGAAAATTTTGAGACAGACCTAAAGTCAATTTAGAAATGATTTGCTATTACTATATTTTCTGTTAATATTAAAAAAAAAAAAATCATAGAAGTATAGTTATGGCTTGGTTTTACATAGTAGAAAAGCTTTGAAATTGCTTGGATCAAGATGTACAGGATACGATGGGTAAATTGTCAGCATTTTATATTTTTAATTTTGCGCATGCACATTGTTTTTAATTTTGTCAACAGAACAGTATAGTAGGGTCAGTTGGGCACTGTTTGTGAGAAAAAAAGCACCATGACCTAATTCACTCAATCAGAAATTTGGACACAGCATGCTGTACTACTTGGCATTCACACCGGAAGCTCCAATATGAACATTTTAGAGTGTTTGGGTGTCAAGCTGAGGACAGTACAGAGGATTCAGAAAGAGTTGGGTGAGTCTAATGGTGATTACAAAGCTGTTTGGAGTGATCACTTGTAATGCTTCCATTCATCTTCCCACATGTCCTCAGACTCAACACTTTAGGAAGTAGTGATGGCCTGGGTCAAGAGGGTGGCTGATAGAAGATCCTATGTCTGGCAACAGGACTCTGCACCATGCCATACGAGCAGGACAACCCAGTCATGTCTATCAAACAATTTCTGTGACCACACCACCCCCTTACATCTGGCCATCTAACTCCCTAGACTGTAACCTTGCTTGATTATTATGCATGAGGTGCAGTTGAGCAAGAGACCAACAAAACTGCTCATAATACCAAAGATGAACTGAAGGCAGCATTCACCAACTTAAATAAGGAGACCATTCAGAAGAGTTGCAGGGGATTCTGATTTGTTGGAAGCCGTAGTTGAAGACAATGATGATTTTATTGAATAAATTTACTCTTTACTATTTCAAGATGTTTTTTGTGCAATATATATATATATATATATATATATATATATATATATATATATATATATATATATGTATGTTAAAATTAGATGTCAGTGTTATTTTCATTTTGTGTAATTTAGATAATGATTTATCCATCACACCCGTATTTCTCACCAAAGTACTTTTCTTCTTCCAATGTCTCAATAAGCAATAAATTGCTTTAATGTATTATCAGGTTTAGTAACCAAATTGTAACACTTTACCAAACAAACATTACTGGATAGTTCCTCTATTGACAATTTCTTACAATGCCTAAAACAGGCCTGGGCAACCTTTTACGATCAATGGACCACGTGAGACCACGTGAGATATGGATTATTATAAGGTGGACTGCACCTATTTTGTTGAAAGTGCTTCTGTTATTTTCACTACAGAAGACCATATCTGTAAGCATCTGCCTTAGAAAAGTGGATTTTTTTTCTTTTCTTTTTTTTTATTCCTTTGGAGAAAAGATTTTTTTCTGTAATTAAACAATTGATGTTTTAGTATAAAACAGTGTGTGGCAGAAATACTCCCCCACATAATGGTAAGACATTAGCTAGATGAAGACACTATTGCCACTAATGTCTTACCATTATGTGGGAGGTATTTCTGATGCATCCTGTATTATCTCTGATGACAGTGTGATTAATGCACACTGCTGCTTGTAATTTTTTGTAATTTATTCATTTGAAAATACAAAATGTAATTTTCTTAAAAATAAAAATACATTTCTTTATCAGAGAAAAATTATTATGCAAAAGATGTTTACACATTATCTTCCTTAGTGAAAATTGTCAATTGTATAAAATGATGAAAACTTTCAGTGAAAGTTTACAAAATTCAAGAAACATTGTTCATAATCATTGTTTATGCATGTGGTTATGTATGAGAGAGTGTGTGAGTGAATAAGTGAGAACAGAATTTTAATAAATATTATTTTCTCATGAAATTAAGCATGCTGTTCAGAAAGCTGAATGGGCTGTGGCTCTAAATGATTGTTCTTTCTTGGATATCTGTTTATGCATTTTAATATTCTTGGTCTTTGAAGAGAGTTGGTAAAATCTCAGATATTGGGCTATTTCCAAATCTTTCTTTGGACTTGAAATATAATCATTTTGGATCACACAACTCCATTGGACTAATTATATAAGAACTTGATTCCTCCTTAAAGCAAAAGATCATGTAAGCAAGAAGTTTAAGCATTTTATTCAGTACTGATAAATTAGTTTCACTTTAAATAGTAAATATTGCCTTTGTTTTATTTTTCAAAATTAAAAAGAGCCCATGACAAAAAACACATTTATTCATAGTCTGCTGGAATCCATCACTTGATATTTGTTAATGTGTCCAATTGAGTTTTAGAGGTCAACAACTTGCAATTCTGCTCCAATGTAAGATAATTAGATATTGACCTTTTAAGCTTTCAAAATTTGCCCTTGTTTGCATTTTACAAATTCACATTGTTGGGGTATATATATTTTTTCACATGCCCTAAGGCTTTATGTTAGAAAAAAGTTTAACAGTGCAAGGTTCATGAGATTGAAATGTTGCCAAATTTTTCCTTATAAGTTTTTATTTTATAAAAAAATTACTATTTCAGGTTTTTATAGCTACCTCAGGAAGTTTTCCTGTTTCACTGCTTACACAAGTTGTAAAGAGTGCAATCTTTTTGTTTTGACATTGGTAAGAAAGAAGTCTGTATGGTTGTGAAAGGGTTAACTTATCTTGCAGCCAATCAGACTCCTTTTACATTTTACTGTGTGGCTTTCTGAGTGTCACTAAGAGAAAGGTGTGGGGAGAAACTGCTGCTAGACTGATTTCTCCTATGGTGGAAATTTTCGTACAGGAGATTTTTTTAAAAGCTGGAGAACCATTAATGATACAGACATTGATGGAATCAGAATTCTGTTTTTATTTCCTGGGTTTTGATTTTGTTAGAATCAAAAAATAGAGGGGATGTTTGGATATTTGAGTTTGTCTTTTGTTGTTTTGGTGTAGAGATGCTTTAGGTTGGATTGAACATAATTGAAGACAAAAGACATGCATACAAGAAAGGAAAGATAAAAATGAATTTTTCAGACAATATTTTTGAAATGTTTAAAGAAGTTGATGACTACATTTTTCAAAAATGTTTTTGGTGTATGTGGTGGATGGGGGTGTATATGTGAGTGAAAGTCTTGGGGTGAAGGAGTGAGTACATTAGCTTGACACATCTGAAGCCTTCAGGCCTCAAAGCCTGTCACATTCCATTAACCAAAGCACAGTGGTATGGAAAAGTGGTATATGCTAATGTATAATTGTGAGTGGAAAGGTGGGCAAATGAAATAGGGGATGGGTAGTTTGGGGTGGGTGTTCATTAGTTGTTTCTGTCATAAACAATACCAGTAACTCTTCTAATTAAAGTGACTACTGATTAGGTTTGCTTTGTGATTTCTTAGAAAAGAAGTAAACTTTTAGTAAACTTCTCATAGACTTGAATTGTCATGTAAAATGTCCCAGGTCAAATGACTAAAATATTCAGTTGATAAATACCAAATGCCACTCATTTGACAAACAACATATTAAAAAACATCAAGAAGAGCATGTGCTTGTTCCTCTGTATGTAAAATAAATGGAAACAGAAAAGCTTCTTAGAAAGTCTTTGTAAAATTATTTTTTTCTTTGTAAAGTTATTTACCATAAAATCCTGCTTGCATTCAAAACTTGTTCTGACATTCTCCTAATGAGACATTTGCAACTGAAAAATCAGTATACCTTTTTCATGAGTAAGCCAGTGTATTATTCTTTAAGGGTAAAATAAAGTTTAGTTTTTAAGATATTTAATTTTTTTCATGTTCACTTTCAATGACTTTGACTTTTGTTATGAGGAAAAGAAAAAAAAGTAAAAAAAGAAGTAAAAATATTGCTGCTGTTAACTAAGGAAGAAAATATGGTTTCAATTTTTACTACTTTCTCTGAATTTTTTTTGGCATTACAACTGCTAAAATATTTTGTTGGCTGTAAAGAATTTAAAATTGAATTGAACTCTGCTTAAATTCACTTCCTTTAAGCATTCGATTCCCTGACTTGCATCTTCAAAATTCAACCATCAAAAGGAGCCTAAAAACTTAAAAAACCTGAGATTTGTGAGACTATTTAAATGATATAATTGCTTGTATTAACTGATTTAACAGTCTTTTGTTTAATAAGAGATACACTTTTCATACCAAGTCAATAAGTTGTTCTCTTAAAAATGATCTTGACCATACAATATATTACTCTGCTGGGAAATGCTTACTATTTTTAATATAAAATATATTCAATATGATAATCCAGTTGGCAATGGCTATTATTAATGAAATGTTACATATGTATAGAAAAAGTAAATCTTCAGTATTTAACTTAATTCAGTAGTATCTGATCACTTTGCTGAACAAAAGGCTTGAAATAGAGTCCCGAGAAACAGACGTCACAAATGACTGTCAAAAGACAGAAGAGGAAATGAAAAATATGGATTTTTCACTTTCTTTTCATGCCTTATCCTTTCTCTTGCCATTTTCTCCATCTTCTTACAGTGCATTTAGTCAACCACAACTAGAATACTTGGCCAACTGGTGGGATTCAACTGGAAAATGTGATAATCTATATTTTCTTGTGCAATGGTGATTAAAGAATTTTAACCAGTTTTGATAAGGAGAGTTT